TAATAATAACAACAACAACAACAACAACAACAACAACAACAAATAAATAATAAATAATAAATAATAAATAAAACCATTTGCACGTCTGATTAATTCCTGTCTGATAATCAACCATTTGCACAGAGATATACAAATCTTATTTGTTGATGCCATAAGCAGATAGCTGCCAAATTTGGTCATCAAAATTAATACAAGCATTTAAATTTTTATATAACTTGACTTGTACTAATATCAAGGAACAGAATCTAGTTCTGTGAATATTAACTACTACTGAGGATAGGAATACCTACCTACTAGAAGGCGTAACTGCAGAGTAGTGGCCACCATCTAAAGGGGTGCACGTCACCATTCTCTCATGATCAGCCTGAGTACCATGCACTGGTTGACTAGGAATCATGGGCACTCCTCCCTCCTTCCCTGGAATGACCAACTAGAATGGAAAAGGGGTGACAGAATAAGACATTTTAACAGTGAAACAAAGACAATGTCAGAGGAAAAAATGAGGAACTTGAAAACGTTAGACCCAAACAGTCACAAAGACAAAGGAATGACAGCTGAGCTACCTATCCATTATAATTATAATCTGGAAAATAGCCTGGTTCTGCCTTTCTGCCAACAGACAAAGAAAGCTGGAGAGGATTTCTGCCAAACTGACAGTAAAGTTGATAGGGAAAGAATTAAAGGAAACCAGAAGCCAAGAAAGGAGACCTGGAAAGGAACAACAGGCAGGAAAAATATGGAGAGTAGATCTATGTTCAGCTGAAATTCTCTTCCAGTTTTGTCGGGCTGTTGATAAAACTTCATAATTCTTAACAGTGTTGGACTGCTCCTCACATGGCTAGTGTAGTATAATTAAGCCATGACTACATCTTGCAAATAAATATGCAATCTTTTAGTCTGTGACAAGGGCAAGGAAGACGGAGATTTTCTTCACAGAGTGTTTTTGTCTTTTCTTCAATTTGTTTAGAACTGTATGTTGCTTTGTTATCAGAGACAAATAAACAATGCAGAACTATTCACACATTCTCACTGCTGCCTAAATATCATTAAAACCTGTACTCAATATCATCAAAACCTTTACTCAATATCATTAAACCTGTATTTCTCCTGCATTCCCATGGGCCAACTAAAATAATTCAGCCATCAATGGGAAGGGAGATATCATAGCATTTTCATAATACATTCAGACTTTTAGAGCTGTAGCTGTGTTGTCTATATTTGTGTCTGACGAAGTGGATTGCGATCATTAAGAGCTCACACTGACATAAATGTGTTGGTTTCAAAGGTGCTGCAATATTTTTGTTTGTGTTTCTGTTTTTTCCTGCACTGTTTTGTAAGTAACCAAGAAAAGGAATTCAAGCTCCATAATTTTTATCTACTGAGAATAAATCTCTAAGTCTCCATTATGAAGCAGGCACAGAGTCTGGAAATGACACAGCGATATCCTTAGTATGGCATGATGAGGTAATGCAGGGAAGTACAGAGCAATGCCAGTGCTATTTTAATCTGGTCTTAATTTTCTGGGGAATATCTTCACATCTAAAAAGAATACTGAGGTGAATCAAAAGGGCAAGGTGAAATTAGCTTTTCCGTGACCTTTACTGGAATAATGGTATTTCTTTCCCTTTGATTGCTTTAGTCAGTGAAATATGAATGGACATGTCTATAAAATATAGCAATTAGTCTTTAAGGTGCCACAACATTTTTGTTTTTTCCTAATATGAATGGACAAACATTTCAGGAATGTTAAGGAGCAGTATTAGTTATGTCTGAAGACACATTTAGTGGCCTCAGATCTCTCAGAATACCTGGTGAGGATGTGCAGCACTCAAGCCGCCAGCAAAGACTACTGGATAGCCCAGGTCAGCTGATCCAACTCCCAGAGCTGCAGGCTGGTAAGAAAGACGAGAGCTCGAGAGCTACAAAATGAAAGAGGGAAGAAGGACAAGGGAGAGAAAGGGAAAACCCCACACAGTCTGAATTGTAGTTTAGAATTACTGGACAAAGTCAGGAAAAGAAATCAGATTTGCAGCATAATATACTAGGCTGGTCCTGTAGTTACACACACACACACACAGAGAGAATTCTATATATACTGATACTGAAGAAAAAGCCCCACCAATTTCAATGGTGTTGCTTCTAAATAGTACTCATGATTATTAAGGACCATTTGCCACGCATTGGATTGTGCTTAGGAACAGCAGGTAACGACCTATAAATGGTGGAAATGTTCTAAATGTCATTTGAAGGAAAGCCGGAAGGTTACAATTCACCACAAAGAGAGCAAACAAGGGAACAGTCACTTGAAACTATAGAAGAAGCTTCCACCATAACTACTCTGACAATACACCATTACTAGGGATTTATGCTCATAGCAGCAAAATGATAACACAACTCACTGTTTGGCCCTTTTTGCCTTACACTAAGGAGTCTATCATCCAAGTATAAAGTCTCACAGTTTCCATCTTAGTCACAGACTCAGCAATTTTTTAGGTGAGCATTCTGTCTTCAGCACAGTATTTTGTCCAGTATTTCAGCATTTTGAAATAACATTTCATGTCCAGCTTGTTTTAGGGTATGTTCAGCTACTGCCGATTTTTCTGGTTGTTTTGTCTGCAGTGTCTCTCATGTTCTTTGATTCTGGTGTGGATGCTGTGTTTTGTGGTTCCAATATATGCCTGGCCACAACTGCAAGGTATCCGGTATAATCCTGCAGTGGTGAGGGGTCCCTTCTGTCCTTTGTTGACTGTAACATTTGTTGTATTTTTGTGGTGGGCTTGAATACAGTTTGTAGGTTGTGTGTTTTCAAAAGTTTCCCCATGCAGTCCGTGACCCCATTGATGTATGGCAGAAATACTTTATTCGTGGGTGGCTGTTTTTCTTCTTCAGTTTGGTGTTGTATTCTTGGTTTAATGGCTCTTGTGATTTCATTTTTGGAGTAACCATTTGCCTGTAGGGCCCAATTCAGATGGATGAGTTCGGTGCTGAGAAACTGAGCTTCACAGTTCCGATTTCCACAGTCTACCAGTGTTTTGAGTATGCCTCTTTTTTGCTATGGGTGGTGGTTGGAGTTTTTGTGCAGATATCGGTATCTGTGGGTGGGTTTTCTGTAGACCTTGTGTCCCAGTTGGAGGTCAGTTTTGTGTACGATCATGACATCTAAGAATGGGAGTTGGCCTTCTATTTCTTTTTCCATGGTGAATTAATTGTATATTTGGGTGGATACTGTTGAGATGGTTTAGAAATTCTTCCAATTTTTCTTCACCGGGGTTCCAAATTGCGAAAGTGTCAAACACATATCAGAACCAGACTGTGGGTACGAAGGGTGCCGAAGCCAGGGCCAGTTTTTCGAAATTCTCTTGCTAAAAAGCCACAACGTATAATTTAAAAAGGTACAATTGCACTGCATTTCTATAAAGTCTGCACCATTACAAGTGCCACTTCTCACTTGGGGTCCCGGCAAGCACAAACAGTGAAATGAAGTGCAAATAATGTAAAGCAACATTATAGCTGCATAAGAATGGAGGTAAAAATCGGAAGAACTTCAGATGACACTACCCATGTTTTACCTTGAGAACGGTTCTGATTTTCCCACAGGAAAGCCACTCCCATGGGTGTTGGTGTCCACTTTCCCACAGTGCACTGCTACATGGCAATCCTTCTGTTCCACTAACCTCCAATATTCTTGCTGTTAAAAAAAACACATTGGATTTTAACAGATGTTTAAGTAAGTGTTGAGTATAACCTCTCAAGTAACCCGTTCCCCCTCATTTTTTCCTCAGCAATGATCTCAGCAAGTTCTTTTTCTTTAGAAATTGGGCACCCAATATTTCAAAATGCACTAGTGAATTAACTGAGCAAAAAATGGAGATGGGGAGGGGAATTAGTTTCTTATTTACCTTTCTGTTGCCTAGCTCTTCTGAATAATAACAGTAATTTCTTTGCTGGCAATCACCGTATGATTACCAGGCCTTGGAAAATTGTGCGCTCTTGCATTATTAAAGCTACAATTACCAAAATGTGACTTGTTCAGAAAGAATTAGTATGCTTCTGCAAAGGGAAATCTTTCATAAATGGTTGTGCAGAACTTCCTGAGAATTTCTTCTCCTCAGTATGGATACTAATTTGGTCTCTTCTGAACAAAGGGTTGGTTCACATGTAACTCTTTTAGCCCTCTATCCAGGGCCTAGCTTTTTCTAGGAAGTCATATATCTTACTAAGCAGTCCACCCCAGCTACAGCTACCAGAGCTGAGGCAACTTCTCAGCTTAGTAGGGGTTTTGTTTACTGATACAAAAATAAATTATGAACAATGCCCCCCCAAGGAACAGCAAAAACCAGCCAGTACTCAGTGAGCTAGCTACCTCAGGAAGCAGAGGACAAGGTGTAAAAATCAATGGCAAGGTGCTACACTGACAAGGTGTGTATAAAACAGAGACAATCTCTGCCTGTATGCTGTAAATCAGTTGGCTACCCTCAGGACTTTGAAGCATGCTATCCAAACATCTGTGTTCAAGCAAGAGTCAACCAATCAATCCAGATGGCATCTATATAAAGAATTAAAGTGAAGGGTGCCATTTTATTCTTTGCGGACCAGCCTGGAGAGGAAAACTTTTTCTCCAAAAAAGGATTAAGTTACTATACTTCTTTCCAACAAATGGCCCCACAATACTTTTTAAAAGTCCTTCTCCTTCTTTGCTAACTACGACTGCCCTTCTTTTTCTCCTGAATTCCACAAGTCCTCCCTTCTTCTGTTTCTACAGCTGCTCAAATATGGACATTCCCGAAGGATGGGCCTATATTCACACCACCAATTCCCACTACTTATGGATGACAGAGTTCTCAGGAATGGGAGGGCCACGTCTTATTCCAGATGTTCCCTTATCATAAAGGATTCCTCACCTCTATTTCAGCTGCGGTTGGCTCCTTGCTGAAGCACATGTTCATGATATTTCTTGCTGTTCGGTAAAAGGTTGTTAAAGAAACAGACCTTCCCTATAAAATAAACCAAAAATTAGTGAATTTCTGTCTACTTGATAATACGAAACTGATAAGAAAAAGGACCACTGGAAATTCGCGCGGCCCCCACGCTGGGCACCTTTAAAACCCAGTTAAAAACATGGCTGTTTATTCATGCCTTCCCTCCAGCCAACTCTTGATTTTTTTCTTACTTTTCCTTTTTATCTTTACTGCTGTTCTTGTTTGATTATTATGTATTTATCTATGTTTTATTATTTGATTTTATATTTGGAAGCCGCCTAGAGTGGTCCGGTGGGCCAGATAGGCGGGGTATAAATTAAAATAAATAAATAAATAAAATAAATACCGGGATGAGGGGGCTCCCCATGGCCAATCTGTCTTTTCATAGAATTCATTATCCCACTGGAAATATGCAGGAGTATACCGGATACCTTGCAGTTGTGGCCAGGTATATACTGGAACCACAAAACGAAGCATCCACACCATAATCAAAGAACATGAGAGACGCTGCAGACTAAAACAACCAGAAAAATCTGAAGTAGCTGAACATGCCCTAAAAGAAGCTGGACATGAAATTCTATTTCAAAATACTGAAATACTGGACAACACCAGCAATCGTTATGTTAAGACTGCACAGGGAAGCCATTGAAATCCACAAACACCAGCAGAACTTCAACAAAAAAGAGGAAAGTTTGAAACTCAACAAAACGTGGCTCCGAGAACTGAAAAATGCAACGTGTAAAAGGTCAACGAACTCTACCCAGCCACACGGACCGGGGATCACTACACACGAAAGACTAGCTAATGACACCCATCAATCAGAGTGACAAATAATTTCTCCTCCTTATCACAACAATACACCCAGAACATAACACACACTAATCACCCATCTCCTGAAAAGGACAAAAGCCTATCTCACAGCCATAAATACTCAACTCCCAAACAAAATGCACCAGAGCACAGAGTGCTGTCCTCTGAAGATGCCAGCCACAGAGACTGGTGAAACGTTAGGAAGAACAACCTTCAGAACATGGCCAAAGAGCCCAAAAAACCCCGCAACAACCATTAGATCCGGGCCATGAAAGCCTTCACGAATACAATAATAACAAACAAAACCGTTTTCTCACTCCAAAATGTGTCTGCTGAAATCAGGAAAGTTCAGAAGAAACTGGAATAGAATCAAATGTGAGAGGATTTATGAGAAAGCTACTGTTCTGAAACTGAAAGTAATTTCACAGTCTGAGTTTGTGCTCTATATTATTCCACCACCACTTTCCATTTTAGTAAAAACAAAGTAGATCCCACAAGCCTAGAACCTGCTCTGCCCTGGCTTATTTAATAAGAAAACCTATTCTTATGATGGATGGGACTATTTGGACCTTAGCCATAATCTGTTATGATCTAGGAGAAGAGTTAGATGTGTCGCAAACAGATTCCCGTGAACTCTACAAACTCCAGTGAGACTGGATAAAATCACACTGGCTTATGCTTATGACACTTTTTCTTTTTTTTAAATTGAAGTTTAAGTTACCATGGACTTTTTTGAAAACTCTACATTAAGAGAAATATTACAGAGTGAATCTGAATACATATAAAATTAATACACAAAACATAAGAATTATCTTTTTGCACTTAATAATGATCTAGGCCTCCACACACTTTATTTAGAGAAACAGTATATGAACTGTAACAAAAAAGAAATGTAACAAGATTTTACTATAAGTAAACCTAACTATGTAAGAAGGATATTTCTGAAAAGGCCGTGGTAAAAATGATTCACAGTAGTTGGTGATTAAATGCTCGGCATGCATTTATTAATCCAGTTTACATCTAATTCATAATAGCACAAGCCAGCAAAGTTAATTTCACAGTTTAATTTCAGTTAAATGCTTAAGCACATACTTAAATATTTAAGTCCCCTTGATGTTAATAGGATTTAGGCACAAATAACTCCCACCAGACTGCATCCAGGATGTTTCACTATAGTAGTAATTGTTCCTTCCAAATCAGCTGTTTGGGGAATCTTGTGTTTCCTTCATTCAAATCATCAGGAGAGGCCTTTCTTGGTACCCACTGGTCCGGCAGGCAAGTTTGGTGGGGACACGGGAGAGAGCATCATATTTGCTGCCCTTCTGCAAGCAGGCAAAGACCTTTCTCTTTCCTTTAAATGACTGCTTGACCAAGGGGATTTTTAAAAGAGATTATTTTATTCTGTTGTTTTATTTGGGTTTCTAATATAGGTCTTATTTCTGAGTTTTAATGGAACATTTTATCTGTAATATTTTATTATTTAAAATAATAAAATATTACAGATAAAAGCTTTCAAAGAAAAGGATAGAATATCAAAGAGTGGACTTAGGACATTACTAGGTGTGAAACACCACACTGGATCACACAATTTGCAACTTGCATCTACTAACCAACCACTGTGTCTTTATATTGGGGCCACATATTAATGTTTGCTGTGCAGTCTTGCACTTATGTCTGAGGACTTGATCCACAAAAGCTCACATTACAATATAGCAGTTAGTCTTTAAAGTATCACAACGTTTTTATCTCCTTATTTTTTCTTTTCTCTTGTTTCTTATTAGTCATGAATGAGAGAGGTGTCAGAGAATTATTGATACAAGAACAGTATGAGTCTGATTCTACAGAAAGCTAATTTCACACTCTCCAACTGCATAGGTACTATTTTTGAATGGGAATATCTGTATTTTTCCACAATGTGTACAGCATATGTACCAAACATCTGCCAGCTGTACCTGCTTGACTGTCAAATAACCCATTTATATATTGGCAGTGTATTCACTAATTTTACTGGGCTCTGATTCAACCCAAGTATGGGTATAGCAACTATATGTGAACTCACAATGACTCAATAAAATCCTCTTTAACCTATTCCTGTGTCTATACTCCAAAGCACATGAAAATATGGAAAGACAGAAATGTTGGGTGCATGTGCAGGTCTACCACCTCTAGCAATGACTTTTTTCACTGCTCCCCAACCCACCCACCTCTGAAGGGGGAAGCAGATACAAAGTTCATACTGGGCACTATCTTCCACGCATGTGCAGTGTCTCTCCTCAGGGCTTCAGAGTTTACTAGGTTTTCAAATGAAATATGTAAGTGCTTGGAAAAAAGGAGGCATGCAACAATAAAAATGAACAAATTTGGGACAATAAAAAAGTGGAAAGCTATATCTTATGATCGTAGCAGAATGTATACTTGAAGTTAGTGTCACAAATTCTTACTAACAGATTCCTTGAAAATGATCTGTTTGCTAGGAAGAACAACTCTCATACTCCAGCATTTGTCTTCTTGACAAATGCTGCGGTATGAGAGTAGATGATAACAGGCAGCATTCCTTCTGTCAAGGAGTGGAATGAACACAGGTATGTAGTCTGCTTAAGTACAAAAATTGGAGTTCTGGCAGCTTAATGATGGAGGAAATATCTTGCCTTTATATTAGCAGGTATGACTGGGTTGGAGCTTTCGGCTATTTATGTAAGCATTCAAAGTCCCTTTTCTTTCTTTCTTTGGTTATTAAAATCATGTTAAATATTCATTACAAAAGTTCATATTAAAATGCTAGGTTCACACAAATTTGTAACATAAATCCCTTTGCACAAACCTGTTTTATGTGTATTGCTTTCTTCAGGGGTGAAATACAGAACATATCTAGCTATGACAATATGCTCTTTACCTCTTCAAAGGTGAAAAATACTGTTTATTACCTGCACCTGGGCAGAGACAAGATATTACAACTGTTTCCAGAAAAAGTTATTTCAACAGAGCAGCATGACTCCCCTCAAATCTAAAAGACCTCTATTATTCCAAATTTCTTGTTCCATGACAAAACTACCAAAGAAAGAACCTCAGAATCAATGTTAGCTTGGTTTTTTTAACTGAACAGATCTTGCAAGCAATGCTAAGTAGAAGAACCTCACATGCCTGTTTCATTTTAGGCTACCATCTACACAGGGATAAAGTCAATGTACCATCATTTATTGCTTACTGTAAAAATACTTGTGTCATATACTTTTCATATATTAAATGTGTTGTCAGGCCATGTTCAACTTTTCTACAATGAACTCACTTGATGAGAAAAGGCCAGACCCATCACAGGGCCCTTCAAGGTATCCATCACCACAAGAGGAGAGCTCTGAACATGTGCTTTAGTGATAGTAAACACACACTGTATGAAGACAAAGACACACAAAAGAAAACACGAAAGGAAGAGAAAGAAAAAGGACTTGAGAAAGAAAAAATTGAATAGAGTTGGATGAACTGATTGCTGGCTGAAGAAAGTTTGTGGCCAGAACTACTGGATATGTTCATGCATGTTCAGTACCACAGAATTGCAGGCACAGTACTGCATCAGAGATAAATAGTTTAAAAGGCTGGGGAAATGGCTATCTGCTTCAAACTGCAAACTATTATTAGGAACAGTTAAAATTCTTATGCCTGAAACTTATATAAATTGAATTGTACAGTACAATGATTTAGGAAAATAGAGGTGAAGTAGAAGGCTCTGTGGACACTGCTGCACTTAGAAGATACCCTTTTCCTTCTAAGAGACCAATAAGGTCATCACCAATTTTTATGAAATTGCGTGCATTCTCAGTGTTCCATGTTTTCTCCTAACCCCAGCAGTGCCCATCTGCATTTCCAACAGGAAAGATCTGTATAAAAAATTTGTTTTCACATCAGGACCTCCTTGTTCAACTAGGATTTAGCATGAACCCTTTCTTACACCCTGATACATAGCTATACACCCTGATAACCAGTATTATGGGTTTTTGACCATTATATTTAATTTCACATAACTATTGGCTTGAGCATCCAAGAATTCTCAAAAGTAGTGCAGGGAAACCTCACATCTTTTGAACACATGAAATTTTAAAGTATTACAGCTGGATGAAAAAAGATGGATATTATATATTCTAAAGAAATGTCTGAGGAAGTAGATTTGATCCACAGAAGTTCAAATTATAATATAGCAGTTAATCTTCAAGGTGTCACAATATTTCTATCTCTCGTTTTACTATTTTCTTTGTTTCTCTTTTTATTTTTATATACTCAGTATCAAAAAGACTGTAACTGATCTTAAAACTATACTCTTCACAGTCAGCTGAGACCAATATGAAATAATTACTTTATTGATGAAAAATTGGCATACTTTTAGTGGCAATGAAATTACGCAAAGAAAATTAAAACCCTCTACATAATAATTTAATTTTAGTAATCTTTGATTTCTGTCCAAAACTGAAATTCTGTATTAGTGTGATACATTCACTAAGTCAATCCCTACCACATACACAAAGGATGTAACTGTGTGCAAACGTTTTATATTGGTCTTACATATTAGAAAAGATTCAGCAGAAAAAGTGACTGCCAGTAAATATAACACTGACAAATGCAACTAAACAGCTGCCTTTCTGAGAGAAGCAGGTTGAGAAACTCCAAGAACTATCTTTTAGAAGCAACTTACCTGGGATGGTGGAGAAGTAGAAAAAGAGGTGGTGCATGCTTCTTGGGAGTCTTCCACTGCTGGGTATGTCCCTACATTCTCCTCACCAGTTGTTCTGTAATAAAGGATAGGATACATTTCATAATGGGGATGTTCAATAAAACTTAGATAGGAACAGTACATACATACTGACATAAACACTGCAGACAGCAATCTCAACATTTCAGTGGAGATGAAATGAGTATTATGAAGGAGCCCTAATTTGTTCCTTACTAAGGGCTGAAAGAAATGTTACTAGAGTAGATTTAAGTATGTTTTGGACCTGATGTGTCTAGTACCTGTCCCTGAAGAGTATATGAGAAATACTCCCATATGTTCCACCTAGCCTTTTTGGACAGAAGACTCTTGGATAAATGTATTATATTCTACTAGCTGCAGTTGTGAAAAAAAGATATTCAGAGATGGTCACAAAAACAAGTCCCAAGTATGACCATCCAGAAAATAGTACATGAGGAAAACTGATCACACCCCAACATATCAAAGTATATATTGACATATGTGAGACATTATGAGTCCACCAATACATCAGCATGAAAACATTAAAACGACGCTTGCAATAAACCTGTTAGCTTTTTGCTACAACTCTTTTGGCATAGCAACAAAGCACTTTCATTTTGCATACTATATAATTATAGAGAACATCAAGAGTGCAAAGGAGAATTTCAGAGAGTGTGGCGTACACCTGAAATTTTGAGATGTTCTGGGACATATTCTACCCACCCGCTTATAATGTAGGGTTTTCTTATGAACTCTGCTGAAAATGAGAAATAGAGTAGGACCTGCATCCTCTTCTCTACCCAGCAGTGCATGCTGTAAAGGCTCTATTCTTTGCAATGCTTGCCTTTATCTATTAGCTGCAATTCCTGATTCCTCACCTGTAATTGCAGGGATGCATGGGTGAGGAGCTGGGGTAGGGACGGTCCACAAAATGATCAATGATAATCCCCATGATAGGTGGGGTCCTCTCAAACTGCCTGCAATGCAACAAGCACATGGTGTTATTCATAAGACTGTTTTCCCTTCTCTGTTGCAACCCCAGTTCTCACAACTCTCTGTACCACATACAGCTAGACAGGGAGCAGAATACAACTACAATTCAACCCTGCAACTCCACGTATGAATAAATAATGTCGCGTTGAGGAGTATGATTTAGGGATACCAAGTAATTCCACTCTGCAAAAATCCAAGAAGCCCTGTATTATGGGTTTAAGAAGTGGAGGGTGCCCAGGAAAAAAGTGCTTTAATTTTACTATGTTCTTCTCACCTGGTGGACATGAAAGCTAGGTTGATTCTATAGGCACAGGACAAAGTGATGGTGCCCAGTGGAGTACCCACTGTCCCCACACGGACTGTCTGGAATCCTACAGAAGCAGAAGAGAAATTAACAATGTCATAACTACCTTATAGAAAAATAATTGTTAGCAACAAAGATCACAGCTAACTTGGTATTTCCCTGCCCTGGGATTACTGTTTCCATAAAACTAGTTTCTTTGGTTCTCCTACCAATGACTCAGGCAGAGCTCCTCCTAATCAATGGCTATCAAAACATGCTATTCGGTAGTTCTCCCATCCCCTTGCTATACCTTCAACTATTTTTACTTTTTATGTTATTGGTATATAACAAAACAAAAACAAGTTTTCAGCAAGATTGTATATTGTCATACCTTCACCCAAGCCACTCAGCTGCACTTCACCAAAGTATATCCTACAGTAAATAGGGAGAAAGCACATTAGATATGGTCTAGTGTTAATTTAGCATTTGTAATGTAATAAGTGCTTTACAATCTTTATAACCTCTGCTCTAGCAAAACTGTTCTCAGTACTGTTGACCCTGGAGTATAGGGAAACAGGGAGCAGGGGCTGAGGATAGTAAACCATCCTGAGTCATCTTATATATGTCAGTGGAGACCAAGGCCAAGATCATCCACACTTTTTTATTTCTGATCGCCAGGTATGGGTGTGAAAGCTGGACAGTTACAAAAGCTGTCAGGAAAAAATTTGATTTGTTTAAAATGTGGTGCTGGAGGATAGTTTTGCAGATATCCTGGACTGCTAGAAAGATGAACAAGAGGGGTCTAAATCAAATCAAGCCTGAAGGCCAAAATGTTGAAATTGAAGTGGTCCTACTTTGAGCACATCATGAGAAGGCAGGATTCTCTGGAAAAGACAATGCTGGGAGAGGTGGAAGGAATCAGGAAAAGAGGAAGACCAAATATGAGATGGGCTAACTCCTAAGCCACAGGCTTGAGTTTACAACAGCTGAGCAGGGCAACTGAGAATAGGACATTTTGGAGATAGCTCATCCATAGGGTTGCCACAAGTTGGTGACTTTATGGCACACAACAACAACAAGCCATCTAAAGTAGGTCTATGGCCAATCTGGAAATCTGGACCCATCAGCAGTATTTTCGGTACTGGATCAAATAACTGCCAACTAATTTTTTTTGTACTCTACCTCAGATGTTTCTGTGAACAGAATGAATCCCAATTAGCTAAGGCATCTGGTTTCTGCATTTTCTTATCTACTTCATCACAGGTAGATTGAGATCTTGACCTCTTTATGTTAATAAAATTAAATCATTTAAAAGGATAGAGGTGGGAAGAGATGACAACTGACCCACAATTGCTGGAGTGAATAGGGAGCAAAAAGTTTTGCTAAAATTTGTACACATATTTCCAACAACTGCACATATGTAATCTGTCAAGTGCAGCTGAGGCAATCTTCATAATTTAAATGGGACTCATCTAAGAGCCTAGCTGAAATGAAATGTATGGTACAAAAGAGAATTACATGAAAAACTGCAAAGTCAAAGAGTTCTTGTCTGTTTATATTAATAAATTTATATTAGGAAGTTCCAAGTTTCTAAACAATATTTTCTCTAAGTGGTGAAACATTTAGGAAGCATGTTAAAATGGAAGCAACTTTTTAAAACTTCTTCAGAATTAGTATATATCAAAATTCATGTTAGTTCTTTAACATATTTTAAAAATAACACATAAAAAGAAAAAAATAAGGTAAGGTAAAAATGTGGATTCAAGAATTCTGTTCTACATAATAAGACTTTAAATGAAATGAAAAAATAAGCTAAATATTAATGAATAGAAAATCCTAAGCAGATGGAGTAGTGTCCCCCTGTTCACAAAAGAGAATTGGGGCTTAATAATAAATAATAATAACAATCTTAGAACTGCATAGCTGGAAGACACCCTGTTTGAAGAAGAAATAAAAAAATACAAAAAAACCAGAAAAACAAAAGAGGTATTGCAGAAATATGTATGTATTTTTGTTCCATGCTGCCTTTCTCCCAATATAGGGACCCAACACAGAAATCAGATATAATTGGAAGGAGAATATGGAGACTGTGGTGCAAACTATGAACTGTTATTATTAAAAATTAAGGTTAAGTTGGAGAAGGATACTGAAGCAATCAAAACATCAAAATGTAATTTAAATAACACTTCTGATTAATCTGAAGTCCACATAAAGAACAAAGTACCATTTTAAAACTCAGTTGGTTGTGAACTAAAAGAATTATTTATTGAAATCACAGGTGTTATCATGGAACAATGCAAATAGTTTATTCGTCTAGTCCAAAGAAAATAAAAGCCTTGATGGATGACAATAGATGAGAAGCTGAAACATAGGCAATTTCTGAAGAACTGGCATGAAGGAACAAAGAAGGTCATTGTAATAATCATGGTAAAGACACAGAAGGGAGAAACAAAAGCAGAAAGACAACAAATCATTTCTGAAAGGGTTCAAGAATTCAAAGGAAATTTAAATCAAGAGTAAAGATGCTGAAAGAACAGCAGGGGGATGTATTATATGATTGGGATAAAATAAAGACAAGATGGAAACAAAATACGAACCCTGTTTCCCCAAAAATAATCCCTAGTATGATTTTGCAGGATGCTCTTAATATAAACCCTACCCCAAAAATAAGCCCCAGTTAAGTGAAACCCTGCCCTTCACCATTGTGCAGCAACCAGAAGAAGATGACATGACTGTATTTGAATGAATGTAGATTGTTGTACATGAAAAAAAATCTCCTGAAAATAAGCCCTAATGTGTTTTTGGAGCAAAAATTTATATAAGACCCATCTTTTTTGGGGGGAAACATGGTAGTAAAAAGCCATACAGAAAATACACAAGGATGACAGATTCCTTTGAAGAAGAATCCTATGGCAGTGGTGTCGAACTGTGGCCCTCCAGATGTTCTTGGCCTTCAACTCCCAGAAATCCTGGCCAGCAGAGCTTCTGGGAGTTGAAGGCCAAGAACATCTGGAGGGCCACAGTTCAACACCACTGTCCTATGGTGAAGAACCTGCAGCTTCAGAAAATGAAGTTAAAACTTCCCTCAAAGCAATTGAAAGAAAGAAAAAATCACTAGGAGTAGAAGGGATAACAGTACAGCCATTTCAAGCCACAACAGCTGAATCTATCAAGATTCAAACAAAAATATGCCAACAAATTTGAAAAACAAAAACAAAAATTGATTGAAAACATTCAATATACAATCCAGTTTCGAAGAAAGAAGATACCAAAGGGCAGAGTAAAGATAAGAACACTTTTCCATGTAGGGAAAATTTGTAGAATGTACAAGATTGTAGAACAGTAACTTTTACTATATATGGATTGAGAAATGCTAAATGTTCAAGTTGGATGAAGAACTAGAGGTCATACTACAAATATACATGGGCTCCTGAAGCATACCATAGAATTTCAGAATAAAATTAGTTTGTGCTTTATGGATTACAATAAAAATTCTGTCTACAACAATCATGAAAAATGGATCATTTTAAAAGAAATAGGTGTGTCATAACATATGACTGTCCTGTTTGTGCCCTACAGTCTTTGCAAGAGGCTCCTATTAGGAAAGAATATGGAGAAACATAATGGCTTCAATTCTCAGGTGAAAGTCAATTTTATCTTCCTATTTAATTTATATGCAGAATATATAATATGAAGGAGGAATGAAAATTGGTGGAAGTAACATCAGTAACTTGAGATGGCATTATACCTGGAAACAGCCATGTTCTTAAAATGACTGCTGAAACATGCTAAAGGAGGAAGTACAAAAGCAGGATTACAGTTGAACTTCAAAATGCCAAAAACGTAAGTACAAAATAATTATGTAATTTTTAAGTTGACAAGCAGGGAGTTAAAACTGTTAAAGATTTTCTATCACCATCAATCCAAATAGACACTGTAGCAAAAAAAAATCAGTATAAGATTGTGACTTGAAAGAGTAAGGATGAAGGGACTAGCAAAGATTTTTAAAAGGAAGGATGTGTCACAGGAAATCAAGGCCAAGCACATTCAGTCTGTGGTATTCCCAGTTATTATATACAATGTGAAAGCTGGCCAGTGAAGGAAGCTGACAGGAAAAAGAAACAATTCATTTAAAGTATGACATTATAAGAGAACTTTATGGATACTGTTGACCATCACAAAGACAAATACATGGGTGCTAGATCAAACCAAGCCCAAATTATTAAACTATACTAAAATACAACAATGTTTAATACTGGTCTTAAAACAATTTAAAATGCCTAGAAAAACAGGGGCTTAAAAAAGAAGTAAAAGAATGTACAGCATTCTGCAATAAAACCTAACCGTGTTTCCATAGATGTTGAGATTTCTATTGTTTCTATTTCAAAAGAAACATTGTTACCTGTACAATATTACATATTCATGACCTTGTTTCCTTGACAGTCTGTAGGCGGGAGTCACCCTTGTTATAGCAAGCAAAGACTTCAATAATAGAGACAGCCTGTTATAGACCGTGTAGGAAACTTTGATTTCTTTATCACACCTGAAGAGCAAGGGGAAAAAAAGAATTAGTTCAACATCATCAGTTATACACCAAAAACTTCACCAACTGGAGTTATTAATTCCGAATTGGCAGACTCCTGGATGGAACATCTGGTTAGTGAGACTGAGTTTTTATAGATTCGCATCTGTGTTAACAAGCCCGAGTATATATGGGAGAAGCTAAGCCAATTTGGGAATCAGTCAGTGTGTGGTTAGGCAACCACTGGCGAAACACTTTTTCTTCATGCTCACTTCATGCTTATTACAGACAGGAAACAGAGCAGGCTCCAGCAGAGTGCTCTGACTTAGCTATAGAACTCTGTCTTTAGGGCATTAAAGGTTCAAACCAACAACTTAAATTGGGCCCAGTAAGTACAGTAAATGGGAAACAATGCAGGTCTTCACATGATCACAGTACTACGTAACAGTTGTACTGCCACTTAATTTCACCAAAAGATCTTGGATCCCATTGAAGAGTAGCCCCATGTAGAGCACATTGCAGTATTCAAGGGACCATATGTAACTAAGCCATATTAAGACTGTTACTAAATCAGGTCAACTCAGAAAAGATCATAGCTGAGACACTGAATGGAGCTGGCAGAAATACCTCTTCTACACCTGGAAATCCAGGGACAGTGAAAAATCAAGGGGTATTCCCAGGCTACAAACCTGACCCGCCAATTAAGCACAACTCCTGCTAAAACAGGCTGAACCCCAGTCCCCAGTTCTGACTTTCTATGGGCCAGCAGCTCTTCCTTTTTGTCACGATCTAATTTCATCTTGTCCACCTTCATCCAGCCCATTATCCAACTCAGAGTATTCAAGGGTCTTTCTTCCTTGCAGAACCACCACTTTCTCAAACACCTTTGCAAAAAACCCCAGCACCTATCATTAGTTCGAACCTCTGAATGAAAGGCACGTTTCTTTAATAACAGCTATACCACTTCCTTTAGACAGGAAGGGACAAAGCCTTCCTGCCACCAAGTTTTTATTTCCTCCGTTAAACATGTATCTGCCCCATATTTCAAGCTTTGATTAGCAAGAAGGGGCAGGAATTAAGTAGATGGTAGTCCTCCACATTCCAAGCACCCTGTAAACTTCCACTAGAACTACAAGTTGAAAAGAATCCCAGCTAGCAAGACAAGCAGTTGCCAAATTATGTAAACATCATCTCCCTCAATATCAAGAGTCCAAGTAAAGGGCGATCCAACAGACCTTGTCTGTAAAACACAAAGCCAACAGCTCACAGTGACCAATCAAGTGTGCTGGCAGTATCCAGTATCCCAGTGAAGAAGACTTTGCACAGTTTAGAAAAGCATCACAGGTCTGCTATATGCAGACACTGCTTTGTTATCCATCTTTACCACTAGGTAAAGGTTCCCCTTGACAATTTTTGTCCAGTCATGTTCGACCCTAGGGGGCGGTGCTCATCCCCGTTTCCAAGCCATAGAGCCAGGGTTTTTTGTCTGAAGACAATCTTCTGTGGTCACATGGCCAGTGCGACTTAGACACGGAACGCTGTTACCTTCCCACCAAGGTGGTCCCTATTTATCTACTTGCATTTGCATGCTTTCGAACTGCTAGGTTGGCAGGAGCTGGGACAAGCGACGGGCGCTCACTCCGTCGCGTGGATTCGATCTTACGACTGCTTGGTCTTCTGACCCTGCAGCACAGGCTTCTGCGGTTTAGCCCGCAGCGCCACCACGTCCCTTCTATCTTTACCACTACAAAGTATCTTTTTTTCAAATCAATTACAACAGATTTGTGGCCTGACTAAATCTGAGCTGTTTTCCAGAAATACAGTGGTGCCTTGCTTAACGAGCGCCTCGTTTAACGACGAATCAGCATAGCGACAGATTTTTTGCGATCGCATAATGATGTTTCTAATGGTAAAAAATCACTTTGCGATGATTGGTAAGCTCTTTCGCTTACCGGTTTTCGCATAGCGATGTTTTAAAAACAGCTGATCGGCGGTTTCAAAATGGCCGCCCGAAAAAATGGCCGCCTGCTGTGTTTTTGCCCAGATTCCTTGCTTACCCGGCAGCAAAAATGGCTGCCGTATGGAGGATTTTCACATTGAGTTTTTTGCCCATAGGAACACATTAAACGGGTTTTAATGCATTCCTATGGGCTTTTTTTTCCACATATGCGGGGCACCACTGTATTTTAGCTGCTGCCCCTTCTCTTTCATTGTCATCAGTCTCCTGCTAAATCAGTGAGCTGACACAGCTCTACGAGTGGAGAGGGGGTACCTAGGAGTGACAGTGTTAACCTTCCTAGCTGTTTCCATGTTACACAGATCAGTCAAGGCATCCTCACTGATTAGTAAGTAGGAAGCTCCCCAAGCAACTTTAAAAAAACTGCTAAGATCCATCTGTTGTTTGGAGTGGGCCATATAATTGGTCTGCAATCCCTGTGGAGGTTCACAGAGGCTCTTAGTCTAAAACGAACCACATGGTGGTCTGTGAATGACAATGGAGGTGCATGTAACCCATCCATCTTCAGATTACCAGCTCCATCAGAAGAAAATACCAAATACAGAGAATGCCCTGCCAAATGCATGAGATCTACTGTTAACTGGGATAGGGCGATGTTTATTAGAAGAGGTATTGTCGGGCGGCAAGGTGGGCAGCGCACCAATAGAATCCCAGTGCTGTCCTGGCGACATTGCCATTCGAAACTGACAGTCTGTTAGATCAATCATTTGCTTAGTAAGATGGAATTTTAATAGAATCAAGTCTGATCTACGAAGCCTGAGTTTGTATAGGAGAAGCTAAGCCAGCTTGGGAATCAGCCAGGGCATGGATGTGTAGCCACTGGCTAAGCCACATTCCTTTGTGCTTACCATCACAATTGGGGCAGGAAATAGAGCACACAAAAAAAGGGAAAACAGGCTGAATGAGAAGGGGCTCATTCCCTACCATTTACCATCCCTAGTACAGGTTCTCTATGTTGCTTCCTAGTTCTACTATATATTAACTGGACCAGAGAATCATCTTAATTTGTGCAGTTTTTGCATTACATGTTTATATATGCTTAGTCACTGGGAAGTATTTTCTAGTTACTTTCAAAAGTTACCTTTTGGTACACATTTTGACAAGGTTTTAGGTTATTGTCTTACCAGTCAGAAAGTGTTGTTTTAAAAGGCAGTGGAAAACATATACAGTGGTGCCTCGCTTAGCGATGTTAATCCGTGCAGCAAAAATTGCTGCTAAGTGATTTCATGGCTAAGCAATTTTAAAAAGCCCATAGAAATGCATTGAACCCCCTTCAATGTGTTCCTATGGGCTTAAAACTAACCTTAATGCGAACATCCTCCATAGGGGCAGCCATTTTCGGTGCCTCTACAGCGAGGCAAAACAGCGGGAGGCCATTTTGTTTTTCCGGCGGCCATTTTGAAGCCGCCGATCAGCTGGCCGAAAATGGGAGCTTCGCAATGATCACTTCCCCGCAATCATTGCATAGCGAATTTTCCCCATAGGGACCATCACAAAGCGATTGTTCTTGCGATGGCAAAAAGTCCATCGCAAAGCGATTTCATCGCTATACGGAGTGATCACTATGCGAGGCACCACTGTAAATAGTAATGCACCTAGTTACTTTTAATTGTTGTGATGTAGACAATAGATGACTTTTAAAAACACTATAACAAGTAATATATGAAGGAGACAAAACTGAAATTTTCCAGGACTTGGCTTTGAAATAATTAAGGGGCGCAGACAGTGGAAGCTATTTTCTGAGGCATTTTGGAACCAAGGAATAAGATATGTCAGAGAGTCTATCTTCAAATTGATAGTGTAGATTGCACATGATAAACTATGTTTTGATGCAAAGCTGATTCAGAAGTGTCTAAACGTCCAAGAAGAAGAAGAAGAAGAAGCCATCAAGTAAGTTCTGTCCTCTTACTGTGTACTAAAGGAGGAGGAGAGGGATGATAAAGCAGTAAAAATTCAGAAGCTGCTGCAATAAAACAATAAATAATCCACTGTGTTATTTTTTAAATACTTGATATAGTAGTCATTCCCCCAACTCATTAATCATGATTAATGAACAAAACATATACGTACTTTTCATTCATTTCCAAACACCAGATTTCAAGCTCCATGGAATCCCCCTGCAGTCGAACAAAAAATGTTTAAACAAAACCTCTGTGAGAAAAACACTATTGTAGTTGACCTGTAGTGAGGTTTTTAATATGAAGCTTCTCATCATATTGTAGATCAATCTAAATCTCACTGGGGTCTCAGGATGTTCCATAAGAATTTGAATGAAGACACCATTTTAAATAATTAGGAGAGCCAAAAAGCTGAAATTTACATCTGTAGTTTGCTCCCTCCAGTTTGCAGATATATACTTATATAAGAAGTGTATATGAAAACAGGAACTTGCACAATTTTTGTCTTATGTGAATATGATTCTCCTCTTCTTCTAAAATAACCATAGACCTTTTTCTACCATGAATTTGGATTTCTTCATCAGTTTGTGCCTTCACACATATCTTTGGTGGGCTAGCTGCTTAAATAAGCTTGGTTTGCTTATTTAAACAAAATATATATTTAAAACAATCATGAAGTCAAAAGTTTAAACTGAAAACTGTTTTGGGAAGAGGCTGCTTTGTTATTCACCTCTATACCAAAACTTTGACTTCAAAAGAGCAGAACCTACTCAAATGAGTAGAACTTAATTCTGATCCTTAGTATACTGCAAATAGAAGATACTAAATCTGTCAGTTACAGTACAGCACTTTTCACATAAGATCCTCTTTTTTATACGTATATCAAGATCTACCTTAACAATATCAACACTGGTATATGCACTAATGTACATGATGAGAAACACACATAGTGAAACATTATACAAATCCTAGAAGCAGAAAAGAGCAAACTAAAAAGAAAAAGAAAGTAAGTTTGTTTACCTCAGAGGTTTTGAGGGAAATTTCCACACACATTGACCGCCCAACAGCAGGCAGCTGTCCTGCCAAGGCTTTTTTTGCTTCATGAGTTACTTCTGGTATATCTTTGATTGCCAAGTTGAACTACAACATTAAAAACAGATTTTAAGTTTTGAAGGAATTCTCTGAGAAACTGTCCCGAAGTACTCTGCAAGAATATTAGCACAAGAGACTAAATGCCCAAAAGCACTGCACCACCACAAAGGAACTTCATTCCTTCCCCCTCTTCTTTGCAATCTATGCAGCTTCTGTCAACTGGCTTCACAGGGTTTCTAGTCCTGTAATGTAGTGCGTAGTACGTTGCAACTAAAAGGAGAGATTGCTTGCTTCTTGCTTCTCCTGAATGTTCTACTAGTAAAAGTTCAGTGCTGGATTCCACTCTAAACTAAACTCATAGTAAATTAGTATTACCTGTGACTAGAGGAAAAACAATTTTCTGCCATTCAGTACAGATTATCAGTACTTGCTTTATTTTATTTTTTTATATTTCTACAAAGCAGTTAATACACACCCACTGTACATCCATACATTATGATTCCTTTTGTTCTTTCAATTTACCACTCCTCTCTAGCAATCTTTTACCAGAGTCACAAACATCTCAATGAAAAATATGAAGTTCCAACTTGAACACATTATAGAAGTAGGATCTGTTCAGACATATCCTGTATTTTACATCCAGCACCAGAAGGTGAAATAATGTTGTATATAATTGGGCTGGGGGAGAAGAATACTGCTATTAACTTTTCTGTATTTTTATTTTGTATTTCTACTGATGCATTCCCTATATCTGAACAAAACAAAATGTGACAGTGTCATGGAATTTTTTTTAAAGAATAGGTTTTACCCAGTCAGAGCCAGTTGGTGAGGATGATGATCTTGTGCATATCTTTTCTCCAAGCCGGGCCTGAACAATCACTTGCACTGTCTAAAAGAAAAAACAAGTTTACTGAATAAGAAGTCAAGCACAGTTACTGTAGAACTTCAGCCCACTAAAATGACATTTTAATACAAAGAGAGAAAATGAAATACAAAAGCAGAAGTGACTGCTGTCCATGAAATCTGGAAAGCTGAAACACAAAGGCTTTTTCCAACATTAAGGGCTCTGTGAACAGAAAGGAAGTTCCTTCTGAGACTTTCTCTCCACAACAAAAGGACATGACTAGCCTGCTTTGCTTCCTTAAATGTACAGTTTAAGTCTATCCACAATGCCTTAACAGGACCTAGCAAGGTGGATAGAATTTAAATCAAATCGATTTAAGTTACTATTTAAATTTGAAAAATCAGATACTTTTTGACAATTTAAATTGAAAAAATCAATTTGATTTTAAAAATCATTGATTTTTATCCATACTGGGACTTAGGCCTTATAGTTCATTTGCATTTTAAGCAAGCTCAAGTCAAGTCACCAGTATAATCCACAGCACAGATAGTATTCCAATCCTTAGCTATAATCACTGTGTAGCTTTTCTTTCTTTTATCTGGAATATGCCCTTCCTTGTTCATATGGGGCAGGGTGAAGAAATGTTTCTGGCCTGAAGGCTGCATTGGATACTACCACTGCTGATCATCTTTGTACATACCTACTTGCCCCATCCCCCAAACACCCATGTATATTGGGCAGTGTGGCATGTGTCTACACATATAGAGCATGGACCTCCCCAAACACTGCACTGCTTTGTTCAACAGAACAACCACAATCTACTTCTAGAAACTGGGGTTGTTGATTCCGTACTAAATGAACTGTGTTTGAAAGAAAGGTCCAAGTAAAACCCACAGAAACAGAACTTCCAGTGGCTTCCTTTCAACAGAAGACTTTACATGCTGGATGGATGATACCTTGTAGGATGAATCTTTCCTGTGTGACAAACTTCGCTCTGCTTGCTAATGCATATTCAAGCAAATGGAGTTTGCTCCTAGGCTCTACAGATAGGTCATGTATATGTCATATAAGAAACCAAATGAAAAACTGACATCTATGAAACCTGGATTTCAATTTCTCTATTTTTTTTTTATTTTGTCATCTATTCCACATTTTCAGAAATCTACATAAACTCAGAATTTTTTTTGGTTGGGGGGATACTGCTGTTTCAAACAATAATCAGTTCACTTGTCACAAAAGATAGCTATAGGGAGCTTCAATTTCTGTCATACATCAACACAAATGTAAAACAAAAAATAAGCTTACAACAAATAATTACCTTCAAGGCAAAAAATTTGATGAACTTGTCCAAGTCCTTCCTATCCTGGGAACTGAGATCAGTGTCCATTGCATATGGAAATCTGGAACGGAAAAAGCGTAACACATTGTGTTTATATTACAGTTTCTGCATGTAAAATCTTCTGGTATTATAGAAAAATGACCAAAACCAGTGACCTTCAGCAAACAGGCCAAATAAATGCAACTTCAAAAGTCAGTCACTACTGGCAAAATCAATTTGTATTATTCACATTAATGTACTATTAGATTAAAAGAAAGCAAACCATGAATATTTTATTTATTTATTTGATTTGTATCCCACCCGTCTATACCAGTGGTTCTTAACCTTTGTTACTCAGATGTTTTTGAACTGCAACTCCCAGAAACCCCAGCCAGCACAGTTGGTGGTGAAGGCTTCTGGGAGTTGCAGTCCAAAACTCCTGAGTAACCCAAGGTTAAGAACCAGTGGTCTATACGATCACTCTGAGTGGCTGAAGAGAACATATCAGTGAAAGTTCCCTTTTGAAAAGTGGCAAACAATTTTTTAGCGTTCAGAGGTGGAGCAGTCATGGTAGGAACTGGGGCAAGAAAATGTAGTATTTCATTTAAACTGCCGAAGGTGTTACAACTGTGCAACCAAATAATTTAGTTGTCGCATGCATTTTGAGAAAAACTATCATATCTTCAAAAAATAACCATGCTTAGTAATGTAGTGTCCTGGTTAAATAATGCCCAGTTTGGGATGTGGTAGAATAGATTTACTTCTATCTAAAGGACTTGGAAACTCCCGTTCTTAGATGTCATGGTCGTACGCAAAACTGACCTCCGACTGGGACACAAAGTCTACAGAAATTCCACCCACACAGACCGGTACCTACACAAAAACTCCAACCACCACCCACAGCAAAAAAGAGGCATAATCAAAACACTGGTAGACTGTGCAAATCGGAACTGTGAAGCTCAATTTCCCAGCACTGAACTCAACCATCTGAATTGGGCCCTACAGGCAAATGGCTACTCCAAAAATGAAATCACAAGAGCCATCAAACCAAGAAAAAAACAAACTGAAGAAGAAAAACAGCCACCCACAAATAAAGTATTTCTACCATACATCAAAGGGGTCACAGACCGAAAATTTTGAAAACACACAACCTATAAACAGTATTTAAGCCCACCACAAAAATACAACAAATGTTATAGTCAGCAAAGTACAGAAGGGACCCCCTCACCACTGCAGGAGTATACCGTATACCTTGCAGTTGTGCCCAGGCATATATTGGAACCACAAAACAAAGCACCCATACCATAATCAAAGAACATGATAGACACTGCAGACTAAAACAACCAGAAAAATCGGCAGTAGCTGAAGATGCCCTAAAACAAGCTGGACATGAAATTCTATTTCAAAATACTGAAATACTGGACAACACCAGCAATCATTACGTTAGACTGCACAGGGAAGCCACTGAAATCCACAAATGCCGGCAGAACTTCAGTAAAAAGAAGAAAGTTTAAAACTCAACAAAGCTTGGCTCCCAGTACTGAAAAATACAGTGTGCAAAAGGTCAAAGAACTTTACCCAGCCACAAGGACCGGTGATCACTACACACAAAAGACCAGCTAACAACACCCATCAATCACAGTGACAGATAATCTCTCCTCCTTATTACAACAATACAACCACAAGAAAAATACACTGATCACCATAATCACCCACTTCCTGAAAAGGACAAAAGCTGATCCCACAGCTATAAATACTCAACTCCCAAACAAACTGCACCAGAGCACAGAGTGCTACTCCTGTTCTCTGAAGATGCCGGCCACAGAGACTGGCAAAATGTTAGGCAGAACAACCATCAGAACACAGCCAAAGAGCCCGAAAAAGCCTCAATAACCAATACTAATTGTTGTTATAATTAAATGTGTTATATCTCTCTGTGAGGGGGGATGCACCTGTCATCTCCAGTGGGCTGTCTGCCTCATTTTCCAGCAGACTACTGGCAAACCACCAGCAGGGTGGCTTGAGGGTGGAGAAAGGTGAGAACTAGCACCTGGTGGGAGCCAGGAGGAGGACAAGCCATACCTGGAAGGCAAGGTCACAGCTGGGTTAAAGGGAGGGAGACAGGCGTAATGGAGGAGGATGGGAGGATCACTGTCTTTGCTTGAAAAAGGGTCAGAAGGCTGGTCTGAGGTTTCAGAGGAACCACTCCCCATTTTCTGTACCTGTGAAGAAAACCAATCTCTACTCCTGTAAGACTTGTGGAGTGCGGAATAGATCAACTTTGCTCCAGGCAGAGAATGAAGAGGATAAGCATCCATCTTCCTCACAATGCTGACCCAGGCATCCAGCTGAGCTACAACCCAGGAGGCCTAGGTGGCACACAGTTTATCTCGTTCCACATGAGTCACATGCAATATGAAATTGCAGCAATTTAATTTGTGGTACTCTTAAGCAACCACTGACATTACTCCCATTCTACTAGTGGAGCTACTCAACAGGATAATGATAATTATATTCCGCCTTTCATCCAAGAGTTCAACCTGGCACACAAAGTTCTTTTCTCGTTTTACCCTCACAATAATCCTAGAATAAGAAATGGTAGCAAGGAGAGAGAGAGAGAGAGGCAGAAAGGGTGGGAAAAGAGGAAGCCAGGAAAGAGAAAAGACCTCTAGATGAGAAGGGGGACGAGGATACAAAAGGAGAACCAGGAAAAGGAAGGGAAAAGTCAGGAGAGGAAAAACTTGAGGGAAAGAATGGAGCCATGCATGAAGGGGAAACAGAGGAGGAATAATAGGAGGAGAACTGGAGAGATACTGTAGCAGAACAAGGGTTAGAGTCCTGTCTGGCTGAGGTGGAAATTCGTAGAAGAAGAGCGGGAGTACATCCAGAGGAAAGATCCCCTGACTTGTGACAGAGTCTTCCTGAGGGTTCCCAAGACAGAGGCTGAGTGCTTGCTTAAATGCAAGAGCCCTCAGTTCTGACTTGCCAACCCTGACTCAAGGACCAGGAGAAGGCCTGTCAAACACCTTACCAGGCGAAAAAGAGAGGGAGGAAAAAAGGAAGATTATCAACCTTGCTCCTCAAGTGCTATTATAAACCAATTCCTGTTTGGCTTGCCCCAAGTGGTCAATCCAAGTAAGCAGGCTACCAGAATGGGACACAAGGGCAGGAAGTAGTTAATGAGGAGAAAAGACTGAGTCTGATTAATTGGGCATAAAAAGGAAAGGTTCTCTATTGTTTGATGACGTTTCTGTTCCTGAGTTGACTCCAAGTTTAATAAATAAATACTATTGTTATAAAGAAAGCTATGTCCTTTGTCATGGAACAAAATATGTAAGAGACTAACCTAAGAGGTCCTGTGGCAGCTGGAGGTAGTCGCATAAACATCAGAAGTCCCCTCACATTCTTATGGTACCAACAGTCAGAATGTTTTGGAGCATCCTGATGCACTTTGATTTCCAGTTTTGATTTTTCATGTTTGTGCTAGAAGCTTGGTAAGGAATCTATACAATTGCAGAAATTAAAAATTGTTTTCCCTTATCACAAACATCTTGTTTATATGGTGTATACCTTTAAAAATCCAAAGCCTGAATTAACTCCATAGTCAAAGCACAGTAAAGCTGCAATCCAAAAGTTACTTATTAGAAGCTGAACTCCACTGAACATAGTGGAATTGCATTGCTAATTTTAGTGGATTTTCGCTGGTTTATGTTTGCATTGGATTATCACCCTAATTGAAGGGACATGGTAGCACTGCGGGTTAAACCGCAGAAGCCTCTGTGCTGCAGGGTCAGAACACCAGTCATCATAGGATCGAATCCACATGTCGGAGTGAGCCCCTATCGCTTGTCCCAGCTCTCGCCAACCTAGCGGTTTGAAAGCATGCAAAATGCAAGTAGATAAACAGGTACCACCTCAGTGGGAACGTAACGTCATTCCGTGTCTAGTTGCGCTGGCCAGGTGACCACAGAAAATTGTCTATGGACAAACGCTAGCTCTATGTGTTGGAAACGGATATAAGCACCGCCCCCTAGAATTGGACACAACTGGACAAATTGTCAAGGGAAACCTTTACTTTTTATCACCCTAATAGTTGGAAAACTTTCACATTACTTCAGCCTTATTGTTCACTGAGTGTTTTAGAAATATGTTCAGATCAGAAGTCCATGTGGTCAAATCACATGCTGAGAACAAAGTAGTGCAAAGATTGACCCTGAAATGCCTACATGAGGTTCAGTCTAGTCTCCCTTAAGAGAATGCTATGCTTGCTAGTTATTCTGGCTACACTCTGCATCTTCTCTGGAATTGTCCTTTAGCTTTATTATACTGCAAGTATTAATACAGGTCAGTTAATCTTCCTTGTTTTCTGTGGGGACTATTCTAGAGTTGCCCAGTCTCTTAAATTTTATAATTTTTGGCTATGGGTTTGCTTCATATCTTCTTTTCAATTCTTTTGAAAGCTTTAAATTTGCTTTTGAACCTTTATTAAAAAGTTTGCAACAGCTTTAATAAAATAGTACAAAAAATTCCAACTGCTTGGTCATTCTGAAAAGAAAGGGAGTTGATAGTACTAAAGAATGTGTCTTGGTTTGGGATTTTGAGTATTTTGAGAGAATTCTGGTGTTTCTATCTAATAAGGTTGCTGTGCAGGCTTGAGTACACAGCCTTGTAATTTCTGGTGAGTCTAGTCTAGTGCACTTAAGGGGCCAACACCCTCACAGTGTTGGGAGGGAATCAGACAGGAAAATTTCCCCAGCCAGCATACACTTGACCCTCCTGGAAATTGCCCACATCAGGAAAAGTCTGGTTAATGTGGCTCAGTGGTTAGTGTGAACTTCTCTGTCATGGCCAAAATCTTGACATTAAGAACCACAAATGAAAATAGTGTTTGTGTTTTAACAGGGTTTAACTGCTTTAAATACTAGTCAGTGTCAAACACAGCTTAAAACAATGTTACCAGCATTGCTATAAATAAAATTCTCTTTATACAGATTCAGAAAATAGAAGCAAATCAATTATAGATGCACTCAAACTTATCATATATACATTTAACATTCTAATCAGATATACACCTAAGTTTATGCATTTGCTGTGTGATATTCTGATGACAACTTTAATTTATACATTTAATAGATTTTTAGACTAGCTTTCTGATACATTACCCCCAAAAGTCAGGAAAGCATAAGATGAAATTCAATACTGTAGTAAGTTGCAACTAAAGCCCATTGAATCAGTGGGGACTGGGTGAGTCAACTCCTCCAAAATTTCCATTTATTCAATGGGCCTATTCTAGTTGTGACTTACTACTGGATTTCAGCCACTGTAAGTTAAAAAACAACTTAAAAACCTAGTAAGATTTCATGAAAACAGTACATAGATCAGTTACCCAAAGGAAATAATAAGGAAAAATAACAACAAATATTGATGTTAAAATAGTGGTGACCACTTTAAAGCATCACAAATCATACAAATGCTGACAAAAGAGATGTAAATTCCTCTTTCTCACTTCTCCACATGTAAGGAAAAGGAGCTGCAAAATTATTCTCCTTATCCTATAAGATGCCAAGGTATTCTGTTGTGCTCCCGATGAGATATGAAACTGAGAATTTTCTTTCTACAAATGTGCACAAATAAGGTTTTAATACAAATAATACATATTGTACAAACTAATGATAATGACTGCTGCCATTTATTTCACAGTTACTTAAGGTTCAGAAACACTGTTGATGTTATGTGTTGCCAAGCTGGAATTAACTTATAGCAACCCTAATAGGACTTTCAAGGTAAGTGTTAATATACTATATAAGGACTGGCTTTACTAGTGTCACACTTTGTGAGTTTCCATGGCTGTGTAGCGATTCAAACCCAGACATCCTGAGTCCTAGTCTGTAACTATCCACTACACTGGCTATTTCAGAAGAATTAGGGATTGCATTTTGAATAATCTACCAGTCATTCTTTGCTTGCTGCAGATAAGTGCTTGACCTCTCTAAAGGAAAGGACAGTTGTTGTGTAGAGACAATCTGTGTAAATTACAGAGACCTTCATAAGAAAAAAGTCTCATTCTCACCTTGTGTCATTCATGCCTGAAGGCAAGCACCCCTAAATCACTATCCAACACTTTAATTGAGTTTGGAAAGGAACAGGCAGCTAGTGCAACTGGCACAGAATGGTTACTTTGTGATCACAATATCTAGTTCCTACAAACATTATCACAGTTCCTTTCTATATAAACTGAATTGTCTTTAAGTGCCACTCTGCAGAGAGTGCATTACAACAGTCCAACCTGGATGAAGCAAATACATGGATAACCAAAGCAAAATCTGCCTTTTCTAGATAACAATACATTTGACAAACAGGATGAATGTGGTAAAAAGTACTGCTTGGCCACTTATGTCTCCTGCACTTCCAGAGAATATACTAGTCCTGTACTTTCAAATGGCATACTTGGCTCTTTAGAATGTAACTTGGCCATCAATTATTTGTATACCATCCTCAGATCTCAAGATTTCTTCATCCACAACTTTTCTACCATGCCTGAATTAGGCATGGTATTTCAATTTATTTGCTTCTCATTCATCTCAAAATTATCTCCAAGCACTGAGGTTCTTCACTGCCTCATTGGGATTGTCTTGTGGAAAGGAGATACACAGGTAGTGTTACCTGCATAATGATGGCATCCAGCTCAAATCTCCAAATGATATTGCTCAGTTTTAGGTATGCATTAACAGGCATGCTGGGCAGGACAGACTCTCAATATACTGTGAAGGTCAATAGCCAAAGGATGGAATTCTCTTCCCTTAAATAGGAGGACCAGATCCAGTCCCACACAACGCTTCCAGATAGTCCAGAAGCATACCATGATTGATGGTATCATAAATCACTGTAAAGATCAGAAGAACAGAGATGATATAGACTATTATTCAAGGAAATCCAGGCAGTTTCTGCTCCAAAACTAGGATTCAATCTGGATTGAAATGGTCAGAGTAGCTAGTGTCATCCAAGAATGACTGGATATAATGCACTCAATGAAGTTTTATTTTCAGGGGTGAAGTGCATGAGTATTGAAAAGCCTGTGCCTGGAAATAAGCAGTCTTCATTATCAGGTTTTCCTTACTACACAAATATTTCACACACCAGCCTGATATCCACTGTCCTCCTTCCTACTTAGAAACATAGATCCATACTCTACTTCAGTATAAACTTATGAACCAGTGCAGGTATCTAGTTACCTGTAGGAGGAAGACTGAGGTGAAGGTTTGGTGTCTCATTCCGGGGATGAGCTCAGAGGCTGTCCTAGCCCCTTTGCATGGCCAAACTCTGTGGTTTTCAGAAAACCTTACTGCTGGTCTTCATTCACAGGGTGGGAAGGTTCTTCCTGGGTTTTTCCCCCCATCGATCTCTAGATCACGGAGGACTCTTCTTTGTGCCCCAAGCAGGAGATCTTAACATTGAAGGATCCCAGTCTTGAGGCCTGTCCAGTTCTCGCCTACGTTTCTAGTGTAGCTTCAAGCAGCAGACTTGCTACGTTGTGTAATTCCCGCGTGGGACGAGGCAGTTCGGTCTCGGGATGCAACTAGGAGCGAAGGGGTTTGGGTTCAGTTCCTAGCCCCTCTACTACTAGGAAAACAGCGTCCCCTGCTCCGACTTTTGCCTCAGGCTTAAAAGCCAGTATGCGGTCTTTCCTGCCGACGGCGGCGTCTCTTCTGGGCACTTAGCCCTGTCACAGAAGGGAGTGGAAATGCCCAGGAATAGCCCACCACTAGAGTCAACGGCTGTGGAACTGCTCCAGAGAAGACCCTGAGCGAGCGACGCCAGTCCCTGTAGAAGAGGAGCCCAAGCTCTCGGCTCCGCAACCGGTCTCTTTTCGCTAAACGTCGCGGGGTCCCGGAGGTGCCTTACGACAGCGGCCTCCCCCAGCCTTCCGCAGTGGCCGTCACCGCCGCCATTGCTGCTGTTTGTTTTCATCCGCTCAGGAGAAGCCAAGCAGTCGGCTGTGCTTTCGTGGCGGCACTTTCCACACGAAAAAGACACCACCACCACCGCTCGCCGAAGTTGCCTAGGCCGCAGTGAGGAAAGCTGTCGAGAGGCGCAAGCGAAAATCGTTCTCTACTGCCCCCAAACGAAAGTGAGGCCAGTTTCTTGAGGAATCGGCGTTTGGGAAAGAGCAGCCTCGGGAAGGCCGGGATTGGCTCCCCGTGCGCCACGTCTGGGGCCTGGAGAAGAGACGTGAACACGTGACGCTTTTCTTCTCACGCCTCGAAGCATGCGCGTTTCTCTACTGGAGCTCTCGGTCGCCCCTGTCTAGGCGTGGTTGTCTAGGCGCCCCATACGTCTCACATCCCTCGCTTCCTACAGAGGTAACGCTTAAAAAGAACCGTCGCTTCTCCCTGCGCCGATTTCTTTCTTTTAAGTCCCTTGAGGGTAGCGGGGCGGGGGAAGCTATCGCCTCCAGATATTATGCAAGCGACTACAGCTACCATAATCCCCTTACCATCGACTATGGTGGCTAGGGCTGTAATGCTCTTTATGTGTGACTGCCTAAGGAAAACTACAGTACTAAGAAACTTCAGCGGGGCCAAAACGCAGCAGCCAGACTGCTGACTCGGGCGGGTCACACGGATCATATAATAATCCCCTTGTTACACCAGCTCCACTGGCTGCCAGTCAGTTTCTGGGCACAATTCAACGTGCTGGTTTTAACCTATAAAGCCCTAAATGGACAGAGTCCAAGCTATCTCAAAGACCATACTGTATCTCCTTTTATTGAGCCTGCTTGGGCATTAAGATCACCAGGAGAGGCTTTTTTTCTCCGTCTCACCACCTTCACAGGTACATTTGGTGGAGACACGGGAGAGAGCCTTCTCTATTGCTGTTCCCAAACTTGTGACTGATGGGCAACAAAGAATTCAAAAATTGTGGCTTCTTAACTAGTGACACTTTACTGCTGTAATTTAAATCATTGCACTTACATTGGCATATGTAAAGAATACGGTTCTGGCCGGTTAATTTTATATATTTTTTCTTTTTATTACTTGAATAAAATCAGATTATTAATCTTTCTTCCACGTATTCACATTAATCTTTGAAACAATCTCTTTGATTGGGGAAGTTTGTTTTGCTCTACAGTTAGTTCAGTTTCTGTACTGCTCAGTTACGTCCTCAAGTTTCTACCTTGGTGATTATTTGCCTTGATCTCAGTGTTTTTCATAGTTTTGTTGTACTGTTTTTTGGGTTGTTTTTTTTTATTGTGCATATATCAAAATTCAGTATCATTAAAAAAAGATCAGTTAATGTACAGAATTGGATTTCATCAGGTCTTTTATAATTGGGTAATTGTGATAAAGCAAGTTAAGGGTTTGAAGTAGATGTGTTGACATTTTCTTATCACAGAATATTTGGGATATCATTTGTTTACCTTGAAAGTGGAAGGTATGAATGCATTAAAAGTAATTCTAACATAAGAAAGCCAGCTGACATCAGTGACATATAATTTCTGGGTGCCATATAACGTGAGCAGAACATGAAAACAGGTTGTCCAAACCTTGTGCAGAGGCAGCTGTGATCTAAGTAGTGAAGGGTACCTTGCCCTAAAGAGCAAGATGAGATGTCCTCCCTGCTCAGGTCATATGCAGCTGGTGACCTTGTTTTTGTCTATCTATGCATATTTCCACTTATCTAATCAGAAGTTTGTTTGGGTTCCTTTTGGTTACAGTATTTCAAGGACAATGTATTTGTTCTCAATAATTTGCTCAAGCTTTTAGAAACTAGAGTTTTGTTTCTCTATGACAAACTGAAAAAAAGCTTCTGACTGCCTTGCATAATTAGGTTTCTTCATATTGTATATTTTTGAGGACAAATATGTTTGTGTGCAGAAAAAAGTTAATAAGATACAGACTGGATTTCTTTCTTCATATCAAGAGTGTTGCACAATTTAAAACTATATTATATTATGTAATAGATTGTATTACTGGTATATGTATGTATAGATTGATTTGGGAGCTTTGCTAACTTCTAAGTTCACCTCATTATTTAGGTACACTTAGCAAAATGATGACCATGATCAATTTTCTGCAAATATCCTCCAACAATCTAATGGTAGCTTGTAAAAACCTACTTAAATTCTCCTGCAAGTTGAATGTAGGGGTCACAGGCACAGCATTGGAAGAAACAAAGTCATTCACATCATCCTATAGTCCTGATCCAGACTAGGGAGTGGTGACAGTGCTTACTTTTGAATAAAATAAGAATAAAAAGAGAGATGTACAACATATTGTTTGCCTCTAAGGAAAAATATTCTTTGTATTAAACATATAGGCATTACTCTCATTGGTTTCTGAGGGTGCACATTTTAGGCATTTTATGTGTGGGCCAAAGCAAGTGAGGATTTTCTTACTATCTCCTGAACAGACATTTAACGCTAATATTGGGGGGAAGTTGCTGTAATCTGTTCCTGCCAGATTGCATCTGAATCTGTTGTGTAGAAAATTAACTTTTTACTGCACAATTAAAATTTAGAAATAATTCACATAGTTTCTTTGATAGTTGCAATTGTTGTCCTGCCAAATGATTAAAAAGAATTAAAAAGTAATCATATATATACTGTATTGTCAAATTATCTTGTTATTGTATCACTTTGATTTAGAGTATTGGATGTTGCTTTTTTATTGATATCAGAGGTTTATTTGTGTTTTATCATAGTAAAGTCGTTAAGTCTTTTGTATGCTGCTTTGAGTTGTTCAGAATTTGAAATAATAAATACATTGGTATGCCACTGGGTTTAGCAAATAAAGCAAATCAACCGATGTTGCATGACTGCACTGTTTGCATGAGAGTTTGCAATGCTGACTGGGACGAATCAGAGTTGAAGTCCAAAATATCTGGAGAGCATGAGATATTGGAGATGTCTGGCATATGGAGAAAAATGTGTATTAGCATAAGCCACTTTGTTAAAACCTAGTGTACGTTGTATTTAATACATATAAGAAAGAGCAAAAAACTCAACCCAAAATAAAAAGAACATACCACTTCTCTAATACAGATAGATCTTTAGGTCCCAAGATATCTGTTGGCAAAGGGGCTCTTCTGTTTCCATCTAATTAGAATCCTATCTGCCTCCTTTCTATTCAGATTTCTCAGAGTTAGCAGCAGACATGAATGTGTGTCTATTACATATGTCTCCCAAATCAGGGACCCAAGACAGCATACAAAATGGGGGGCGGCAAATACCTACATTAATATATTGAAAATATGGTGATACATATAATAGTATTAAAAGACTATTAAACATAAAACAATTTAACACCAAAAGTATTTGGAAAATACACATCCGAAAAAAATTGAAAGAAGAAAAGTGCAAACTCTGCAACCCAATCAGTGGCCAAAAACTAGATGGAGGAGAAAGATCTCTTGCTTTCTGGTCAAAGGACAGCAAAGGGCAACCTAGCCTTTTGTGGTAGAGAGCTCTACAGTGTAGGAGCAGCACTGAAAGTCACTTTCCTGAATCCTAATGAGATGTTTCTGTGAGTGCAGTGTGACTTAAAGAAGGGCCTCCCCCAAAGATTCAAAGATTGAGAGAAGCTCAAAAGAAATCTGGAAAGGATGCCAGGATAGACAAAATGTTTCCTGTATTGTTTAAACTCTGATTTTGCAAGATTTGAGTTCTTAGAACATCAGCTGTCTTCAGTCAGAATGTGATTGACAAGCTTCATAATGGAGAAATATGATGGATGGTGTAGAACAAGTTTATATGACATGCTCCTGTGTATGTATGGCTCGAAAGAGGAAAAAGGAAAAAATATCCTTGGAATTTTGAGGGGAATTGCAGCTTCTGGAAGAAGAATTATAGCTTAGTAATTAAGTTCTTAGTACTGCCTATTTCTAATAATAACATCAAAATGAGTACTATTGAGTCACACCCTCCTGCTTGCACAGCCAGTTAATGTTATGCACCAACTCTGAAAGAAGAAAACAAACTTTCCCTAGACTTGCTTAACTGGTTCAGGAAGAATGAAAACATAGCACTAAATATTGAACAGGTATTCTGCAACTTCAAGTTTCCATATGACCCAAGATCAATAATAGTTGTACATTCTTGTGCTATGAAATATGCCCATGGCCCTGTGTAAAATTATATACAGCTTCAGAAATTTTCCACTATCTCTTTTCCAGAATTATGACCATGATCCATTATACTGAAATGGATGAAATTAACAGAAGAATTCCATTGGAATCTTATTTCTTTATTTTCTAGTAAGTTTTTAGCTGGTAGGGCTTAGCTATGTTAATAATACTGAGGAGTGGGGAAGAATATTATATTGCTGTCACTTATATTCTGTGCATTTTGTGCTGCAGTCTCACAACAGCTGGCATTAATACCAACTAACATTAGCTTATACATTTATGAGTGAATTTCAAAATTTCTCTAACAAATAGTGTGACTTAAGCCAAGAGATATATTAGGTACCTGCGCTAGGATGAAGATGACAGTATAAAAGATAGAATATATTCATGTATATACTGAATTTTCCTGTTTTGCTCCAGTATAGGTGAGTACACAGAAGGAAGATCAACTAATAATGGCTGTTCCCATAGCAATTCTTGACTGTGACCTCTTGCTCTATGGTCCTGGCCATAGGACACTTGATCGCTTCAAGCTGGAGGATGTCACTGATGAATATCTGGTATCCATGTATGGCTTTCCACGACAATTCATTTACTATCTGGTGGATCTCCTGGGTGCGAACCTTTCTCGTCCCACCCAGCGATCAAGGGCCATCAGCCCCGAGACACAAATCCTGGCTGCATTGGGTTTTTACACTTCTGGTTCTTTCCAGACACGCATGGGAGATGCCATTGGAATCAGTCAGGCCTCTATGAGCCGTTGCGTTGCAAATGTTACTGAAGCCCTGGTGGAGAGGGCCTCTCAATTTATTCGTTTTCCAGAGGATGATGCATCACTGCAACACCTGAAAGATGACTTCTATGCATTGGCAGGCATGCCAGGAGTGTTAGGACTGGTTGATTGTAACCACGTAGCTATAAAGGCACCAAATGCTGAGGACTTGTCATATGTGAATCGAAAAGGCCTTCATTCCTTAAACTGCCTAATGGTGTGTGATGCTAGAGGATTCCTACTAAGTGCAGAAACACACTGGCCAGGCAGCCTGCAGGACTGCACTGTATTGCAGCAGTCAGCCCTAAGGAACCAGTTTGAAGCTGGTATGCATAAGGATGGCTGGCTACTTGGTAAGTTCATTGTGATAATTGACCTTCTGGAAAGTATATGCTGATAGAGTTTTGTTTGGTTCACTGACATGTAAGACAATATACTTCTATTACTAAATGTCATAGATTTTAGACTTCACCCTTTATAGAGATCAGCGAAATAAAGGTCACACAAAATAAACATGTATTCCTTTTTACCTTTTGGGAATGCTGTTTTCAAATGGGTATCCAGCTTTACTATCACATACTGGAAATCAAACTAGAATAATCTCTTCTTTTATAATCTCTCATTTTTGTGTTTTAACAGGTGATAATTCTTTCTTTCTTTGCACTTGGCTAATGACTCCTTTGCATATTCCTGAGACACCTGCAGAGTGCAGATATAACATGGCTCATTCAGCCACTCACAATGTCATTGAGCGGACATTCAGGACAATCCGGTCTCAATTCCGTTGTCTTGATGGGTCAAAGGGCACATTGCAGTATTCTCCGGAGAAAGCCAGCCACATTATCCTAGCTTGCTGTGTACTTCATAACATCTCTCTGGAACTTGGGCTCGATGTATGGTCTTCCCCAACAGTGGGACAGATGGAACAGCCAGAGGAAGAATATGAGCATATGGAATCACTTGACTCTGAAGCCTATCAAGTTCGACAGGAATTATTGCTCACTCATTTTAGCTAATATTTTGAAGCATACCATAACTAGATTTAAGGAAGAAGCCAAAGCAAGCATACATTATCTTGATTTTTCTGAACATTAAGCCAGAAGTGGATATGAGAATATTTATTTGTACTATATGGAAAAAACAGCATTAAACTATCATTTTGTATTTGGAATTATTATTTATTTACTTATTTATTTAGATTTATACCCCACCCATTTAGTGAATATACCACTACTTTTGGCAGCTTACAAAATATTATTAAAATCATATAAACAATATAAAACATATTAAAAGAAAATAAACAAACCCTACCTCCCATAAAATCACCCTTCTACGTACAGTATATCTAATTTAATATGTTGGTTTCCGTTTACCTATTGTACCAGAGTCAGTAACTGCTGTATACCTTAGCTTGGATTTAATGCTCAACCTATATGAAGACAGTTCATCAAGGACACAAATATGAGATCATGATTGATTATAATGGTAAATGTTATCTTTAAGCACTAAAAAGTATAATGAACATCTTGTACATGGTGTCATCAGATTCTAAGCTTTTTTGTTCAGGTTTCTTATTGAAAATCATTATGTATTTGAAAATTGAAAATTATATAAGGATTCTTTTTTCTACGACATAATCTGCCATTGTGTCTGTTTTCTTTAAATTCAGCAACTGCATTTGTGTAAAAGAATGATGCAGAGTCTTTTGTTTCACATATAAAATTTCAGTGTTTGTGGTGAGATGTATTACATTATTTAGAAGTTATATAAAGTATTTAGATTAGTTTAAGGTTATATAAAAGTAATCTTGGAGTCTCTGTCTATAGTCTGAGAATTTTTGGAGAACAGTCCTTGGAAGACTGGAGACAAGCAAATATCATTCTCATCTTCAAAAAAAGAGAGGGGAGCACAGACAACTACCAACCTATCAGCTTCACTTCAATACTAGGAAAGATTCTAGATCAGGTAATTAAACAGTTGGTTTGTGAGGGCTTGGAGAAGATGATTATGATTTCTACAACAGTATGGATTTCTCAAAAGCAAGTCATAGCAGACTAATCTTACTTCTTTTTTTAAAGTGTCACAAGTGCAGTGATGGCGAACGTATGGCACACGTGCCACATCTGGCACACGAAGCCCTTTCTATTGGCACGCGAGTGAGTGGCCCACGCACCCACCCTCGTGAAAACAAACCTTTTGATGTGGCTGCAGCTGGGATTCCCCCTTTCTCTTCCTGTTCTGGGTCCTTTAACTTCCTGTCTGTCCCCATGATTCCCCCTTTAACTTCCTGTCCGTCCCCATGTTTCCCCCTGATACTGCCACTTCCTGTTCCGGTTCTGGTCTTCCGGGCGGCACGGCAGCCACTGGTTTCTTCCCCACCCCCTCATTTTGGGCACTCGAGCCGAAAAAGGTTTGCCTCCACTGGCTTAGAGCAATGCTTTGTATCTTGATTTCAGTAAAACTTTTAACATATTCTTGAGGTTAAAAGTCGGCTGGGTGGTTCTATTGCTATGTGGTTTTGTAGCTGCCTGAGGGGCTGTGCTCAAAGAGTCCTTGCCAGTGATTCTTCATCATTGGAGAGATAAATGATAAGTGGAGTGCTAGAGTTCTGCCTTGGTCCTGTTTAGGAATACAAATTGGAAGGAGGGGCCTAGATGGCTCCAAGCAGGAAACATTAATTTGAGATGGGAAATAAGTTCATAAATGCTTCCAACATGAATGAATAAGTTTTCAAAGTCTGAGGATCAGATTTATCACTTTAAATATATCTCTCATAGTACAGCAGAGATATTTCACTGTTATCGTAGGTAACAAACAGAGCTCCTAATTTAAAAATAGTCCCAGGGATGACAACAGAAGAATGGGAGGGAAATGGAAGAATATAAAAGTGGTAAAAGGAAACAATATGCAGCTCCTATTTGATGTGATATAGGATCACAACACTCATTTTTAATTATATTTGTATTGTAATCGTGATGCTCCTGGTAAGATTCTTTAGGCATCCTTCAGTCTCGAGAGACTATGGTAACGTGCTCTGTATGGAGGACTTGGAACAGCATCGAGTGTGTCTAAGAAGGTCAGTTTGAGAGTGACAATCCCTTCCACACTGAAGGCAAATACAATCTTTCCCCTGTCCAACTCCCTTATTTTGATGGTTTTGGGACTGCCTCTTTGCCTCGGCCTGCTGGACAAAGGTCTCTTCAAAAT